CCCCCCCCTCTACCCCTGGGCCCTTCCTTGCGTTCGCCGAAAAATAGAGCCTGAAGGTTTTTTTTTTTTTTTCGTCGTTTACTTAATCATTTTCTGTCCCCGCCCCCCCTTCTACCCCTGGGCCCTTATTTGCGTTCGTCGAAAATAGAGCTCGGAGGTTGTTGTTTTTTCGTCGTTTACTTAGTCGTTTCACCCCCCCGCTCCACCCCTGGGCCCTTCTTTGCGTTCGCCGAAAAATAGAGCCCGGATGTTTAGGCTGCTACACTGTTCCAGTATTGATAGCTTGTTACTTGCCCAACCCACATCAAGTAGCAGTTGTGGCTTAGGTCAACACACACACAAACATATACACAAACACATATAAGCACACACACATATACACACATGCACACATATACTTATACACATATGGTCGAAATGATCTCAGAGTGCAGAACAGGCCAATGACAGACTTGTGCGACTGAGAAACAAAGTTTAGTAGCGTACTTGATTTATGTTATTCCAAATTGGTATTTTTTTTAAAATAAAATAATTTTATTATTTTTTTTTTTTTTAGTTTTTTTTCCGTCCATCTGTTTTTTTTTTTTATTATTATTATATTTTGCCCCTTAGTTATTTGGTAGTTTTTCCCTACGTTATTTACTTGTTCCCCCCTGTCCATATTATATTCTGATTTTTCGCTGAAGGCAAAGAAGGGTCGAGCGGTACAGGAAGAATAATTACAAATAACCAAGCATGGAAAAAAAAAAAAAAAATGTTTGCAGCATATTTTTCCGAAACAAAAAAAAGGCATAGGGGTGGAGGAATAGAAAACTAAAAAAAAGTACGTAAAAAAAAAAAAAAAAAAAAAAATCTCGAGTATATTTTTCAATCGAGGCAAAGAAGGGTCTTGCAGTAGAGGGATAGATACCTAAAAAACGACTAAGTATGCAAAGAAAAAAAAGAAAGGTCTTGGCTCTATTTTTCGGCGAACGCAAAGAAGGGTCTAAGGTCTAGCGATAGGGACAGGAAAAACAACTAAGTATGCAAAGAAAAAAAAGAAAACTCTAGGCTCTATTTTTCAGCAAACGCAAAGAAGGGTCTGGGGTCTAGGGATATGAACCACAAGTGGTTATCACACAGATGAATATTCACAGATGAACATTCTGAAAGTGGAAAAAATTAAGTGGTTTTTCGGGTTTGAATTCATGTTTGTACGTGATGAATCATAGCTTGCAATTGTGAAAGCCTGGGGTGCAAGATGTTGTTCATGGTGAATTCATTTTTATTTTTTTATTTTTTTTTGTGAACCATCCTGAAGGGGTTAATGCCTTGAAGGCTTGAAAGCACCCCCCCCAGCGTTGAGGATCCTGAACAATCCTAAAGAGGTGAATGTCGTTCAGGGCATTCACCCCTTCAGGATTGTTCATAGCCTTCACGATGTTTTTTTTTTTCCGTGCACCATCATCCTGAAGAATCCTGAAAAGTTGAATGCCTTCGGTGGTATGAAAGCAGGGAGTCGAATGGAGGTGCGAGGGTTTTCAACGCCTTCACCCCTTCATGATAGTGAGAGCCAAAGGGGGGGGAGGGTTCATGCCGTTCTGGGCATTCACCCCTTCAGGATTGTTCATAGTCTTCATGATTTATTTTTTATTTTTTA